GAGAAGAGAAGAGAAGAGAAGAGAAGAGAAGAGAAGAGAAGAGAAGAGAAGAGAAGAGAAGAGAAGAGAAGAGAAGAGAAGAATGGAAGCATTTTGTAAAAATATTTTTAAAAAATGGAATTATAGCCATGAGATACCGAGAGAAACCCCAAACAGCTAGCTCTCTGCTTAAGGCAGCCCCACAATAATTGTGCGCATGAGTAATCCTCACTGGCTTCTCACCTGCAGTAAGGATTTCTGCGAGAAGAGTAACGGAGCGTAAGAAATCTGTAGTAAATAAAAGGCTGCAGCAAGCTTCCTTGTCCGCTGAAAAGGACAAAAAAGAGAAGGACGGTGGGTTAAAAAAACAACAGCAGTTTATTTCTTAACCAAGAGAGGATTTATATTATTATACAGGGGGGGGGTGTCCCTGACTTGCAACTGTTCACTTAGTGGCCGAAGTCCCAATGGCGCTGAAAAATAGCAACTTATGACCCTTTTCCACTTATGATCCCTACGGTCACATGACCAAAATTTGGACACTGAGAAACTGGCATGTACTTATGACGGTTGCAGTGTCCTAGGGCCAAGTGATTCCCCCTTTTCCGCCCTCCTGACAAGCCAAAGTCCCCGGGAAAGCAGGATGCACTTAACAATCGTGTCATGAACTTGCAGCTTGCAGGGATCCGCTTAACAACAGCGGCAGGAAAGGTCGCATCTGTACTCCGCATTCTGAACTAATCTTACGTGTCAATATTCTGTGGCGGATACACACCCAAACAGATCCATAGCTCAGGACGTAACATGCTTTGATTGCCAAAAATAGTGGCAATATAATTAAAAAAAAACCAAGAAAGCATGAAAAGATGACAAATGATAAAAAGAGGAGAAGCACTGCCTGTCCAGTGTCACTCAGGAACAGACCTCGCTGTGTTCAAGGCAGCTTTTATTTCCTAGGCAGGCTTGTCTGAAAGCAATTCCCTTATTTAAAAAATAAGCCTCAATGAGTTTAATTGGGATCACTTCCAAGAAACTGTGTCTAGGACAGGCCACCCCTCTGGCAATATGGTGCCATGTGTTAGCCTGACTATAAATGCATTATCCACCACCAGCCCACATAATGACCTTAATTGTGACAAACGAATATTTTGAAGCCAAAAACAAACAAAAAAATGAAGGCTGCACCTCTCCTCAAAGTTTTGTATCTTTTTATCATCGGAATCCTGTTTAAGATACCAAAATAATAATAATAATAAAAAAATATGTTTCAATCTACCCTGCCCAATGTTTAAGAGCAATTTAACTGACTCTCTAGTATAGAATTCTTGAATGGCCAAGTGTGCTTGGACGCACAAGGAATTTGTCTTTGGTGCATATGCTTTCAGTGTACATAAAGAAAAAAAATAAAGTACATTCACCAAGAATCAGACATTCTGCAGTTCAGCTCTAGAGCTCTTTTAAGTTCTCATGGAAATCATAAAACCTTGAATAAATCACTAGCCTGAGCCTTCATCTTCACCCCGTAAATCAGGTTTCTTTGAGACAGGAAATACTGCATTCCAAACTTTGGGTGCAGTTGAGATAGCTTGAAAAATAAATTTATATATATGAAGGACTACAAAGGACACATACCTGAAAAGCATAAACACGGTAGCTGGCATCAAGAAGATTTCGTTGCAGGCAATAAATTTTAAGATGTTTTGCTGATTAGCGTTCAACTTGTCCAACAGATTTCTGAGAAAAGGCAGGCTATTTGAGCCCCGGGCCTTTAAAAAGAAGGGAGAAAAACCAATGAACAAATGTCCCTGGAAATCACTTGCTCTAGCTTATGCCAATTTACCAATGAAAAATAAAAACTCTGTAGATATTTTTAACTCTTAATATTTAGTAGCTCTATACCTGTGTTTCGCTACGAAACCATGTGGTCGGGCTTAGTTTTGGGGGAGGAAAATAAGGGGGAAATTTTTTTTGCCTCTGCCTACCAGCATCCATCGGTATTCATCTGGCTAGCATCTTGTCAGTGTGTGAGAGTTGAGGGCTGTTTGGAAACTGAGACAGTATTTACTGTGTGAGCAAGGAGACAGCAAGGACCCTGGGCGTGGCTTAGCTCAACTGTTCTGTGCTAAAGATGCTTAGTGCTGCGAAACTGAAACTCTTCTGCTTGTGTTTTGCATTTGGAAGAGATTTAGAACTCCTTAGCATCAGAGTGTGGTAATAATAAGATTCAAAATACTTGTGCTCTGATGGTCGTTTTGAAAAATCCTTTCTTAGTGAGCACCTGGAAGCCAAGACGAACATACACGCCCAATTTCAAGTTTGTAGGCTTTACGGTTCTGGAGATTTTGTGATGATGCGCGAGTGGTATTTCGCTTTTATGTATATGGAGGAGGAAGAGGAGGAGGAAGAGAAGAGGAAGAGGAAGAAGAAGAACCATGAAGGCACTCATTAACCCTCTAAGATCTAAACCAGCTTTCCAAACATGCTGATCCTTGTAAATCTAAAGAGTTAACTCTGAATACCGCTAAAAAAAAGTCTCTTAAAGCATGGAAAGCATCTTTCATAGCCCCAAGAGGACAAAAAGTATCAGTAATAGTACCTCACAACTGCTTTGTCAATGCCATGAGAGCGTACAGTCCTCGATTTACGACAACGGAGCCCAACATACGCATTGCTAAGTGAAACATTTCTTAAGTGAACTTTGCCCCGTTTTACGACCTCCCTCGCCAGGGTTGTTCAGCGAATCGCTGCAACTGTTGCATAGATAGCACGACTGCTAAGCAAATGAATGAATTTTTCCACTGACTTGGCTTGTCAGAAGGTCGCCCAAGGGGATCACCCTGGGGTGCTGCAACCATCAGAAGGATGCCTCAGAATGTTGATCACGTGATCATCGGGATGCTACAACGGTTATTAAATGTGGAAAATGGCCATGTGTCATTTTCCCAGTGCCGCTGCGTCACTAAGTGAACCGTTGTAAGTCAAGGACTTCCTGTATGTGGCCCTACAGCTGCCTGCTGACAGGTAGGCTGGTCATTTCAGAGTTCCGTGGCCATCAGCAGAGGGAAGGGATATATTATTTTTCTAATGATTCTCTCATCTTGTTTTTTTTTTAATAAAAGTTTTTTTTTATTTTGGCACATCTCTTCAGTGAGCAGCGTGATTCCAGGTTACAACATTTATACATCGTCATAATTGCATTTCCAACTTTTTTATCTAATTTCATATCCAATCGTTATCTATTCCGCTGATCTTTAAATAAGTGCTCACTTCATATTTCAATTCATTCATTCAATATCAAAAACATTCCATCCTCACATATATTTTCAATTCCTTATCCCCTATTATTTCCATTTTCACCTTACCACCTATTTTCTTTTACATTATTCATTATCTTCGTTAACTTTCTCAAAGCCGATATATAATAAACAGTCAAAAAAGAGTAAAAATAAAATAATATTAATATATTCAGTCTACAATAAATGCAGAGATATGCTCTCTTCCCCTGGCAAATAGATGGGGAAGAAATGGAGGGAGTGACAGATTTTATTTTCATGAGCTCCGAGATCACTGCAGATGGGGACTGCAGCCAAGAAATTAAAAGACTACGGAAGAAAGCTATGGCAAATCTAGACAGCCTACTCAAAAGCAGAGACATCCCCCTGCTAACAGATGAGGAGGTAATTAAGAAAATAATAGTGTGTGCAGAAATGAACAGACTAACACTAGCAATTAAGGAGAAAGAGCCAACTGTGTATTATATGATGTGGAATGTATTTTATCAATTGCTAGAAAATAAAAAACAAATTTGCAAAGAACAGAAAACAGATTAAAAAAAGAGATACAAATAAGATGACAACTGTTGATATATGTATGATGAGAACAATAAGATGTAATGTTAGTAAGGTATTATCACCAGAAGAGTTTTATGTTTAGCTGTTTGATGTATCTTTAATTCCAAATTTAGAGAAATAATATCAATGTGAATGTGAATGGTGACGGAGGTTGGCACAGAGGTGTTTGTGCCCAGAAGACACACTGCTTGGGAAAAAATGAAACGTACTTTTGAAACGGAAAAATAAAAAACTTTATTTTAAAAAAAGGGTGTATAGAGCTATGGCTTTCCCAGTTGCAATGTATGGCTGGGAAAGTTGGACCGTAAAGAAGGCTGAGTGCCAAAGAATGGAGGTTCTTTGAACTCTGGGGCTGGAGGAGGAGACTCCTGTGAGTCCCTTGGACTGCAAGGCCATCCAACTGGTCAGTCCTAGAGGAGATCAACCCTGGCTGCTCTTTAGAAGGCCAGATCCTGAAGAGGAAACTCAAAGACTTTGGCCACCTCATGAGAAGGAAGGAAGGACTCCCTGGAGAAGAGCTGAATGCTGGGAGGAAGAAGGGGGCGGCAGAGAAGGAGGAGGCTGGATGGAGTCCCTGAATCAGTCAGCGTGAGCTTAAATGGACTCCAGAAGATGGTAGAGGACAGGAAGGTCTAGAGAAATGTGGTCCATGCGGTCGTGATGGGTCAGACACGACTTCTCAACTAACAACATGAAGACCTCACTCCTCTCTTCCATGGTCTTCTTAATTGTCCAAGAAGAAAACCCAATATAATAGGATTTCTCAACTTTGGGAATGTTTTAGAAGTCCACACAATTTAAACATTCCCAAGGTAGAGAAAAATTACTCTATAACCAGCCCAGATCTCAAAGCAGAAAAATAGATGTCAACATCATACTTACATCAAGAACTTTCTTTGTGTAGGTCACAGCATGAAGCAACGAAAACAAGAGGACAGGAAAAATGCTCACTGAAGTGAAAGTTAAGGGCACCACATTATAATTACAGTGGACAAGTTTTAAAAATCCTGGAACTGAGCCTAGGTAACACCCCGTTTCCCTGAAAATATGACCTACCCTGAAAGTAAGTCCTAGCTTGATTTTTTTTACACAGGTGCCCAATATAAGCCCTACCCCCCAAAATAGGTCCTAATTAAGATCCCACCCACACCAGGATGGATGGGTAAAAATTAAGCTAAGGTGGGGATGGGGGGGGGTGGAGCTGCCCTGCTACCTAGCTTTGGACAGGTGTAGCCAGGCCTCGCACACCCCGACACCTGCCTTGCCGGCCCATTTTTTCTGCAGCCAGCAAGACTGGCAAGGCTTTCCTGAAGGCCTCTGGAGCTGATAACAAAACTCTGGATCGATCCTGAGCTCTCTTATCGGCCTCAGAGGCCTTCAGGAAAGCCTTGCCGGCCACAGAAGTTCCTGAAGGCCTCAGAGAGCAAAAAGGAGGCCGGGGGCGATGCGCACAACTGAGGTTAGTCAGTGGAGGACATTCCCTGAAAATAAGACCTGGTGCCTTTTTTTTTATAAGACAGGATCTTATTTTCAGGGAAACATGGTATTGCTAAGAAAAAGAATATTGTTTACGTCGTTGCCAGGATTCACGTTAGCCTTGAGGAAGATTTTACTTTATTATTATAACCAATACCAGTTTAAAACCCTGCCCCTCACACCTAGTATAAATGTGAACAAAACAGACTTGTGAAAAGGGATGGCTAATTGGACAGATAATTGAACATAATTAAGAACTCCACACATATTTATCTTTTCAAGCCACCCGGTCACTGCAAGTGATGTGGGCAGCCATTTGAATTAATCAACCAATTTTTAAACATCACAAGACTTCTTCAGAGGGCTCATGGTACAGGTAGTCCTCGACTTACGATCACCTTCTGTGGTCGTAAATCGAGGACTACCTGTACCATGAGCCAAGGTGGTCGTAAATCGAGGACTACCTGTACCATGAGCCCAACGTTTTTATTTATAAAAATGATTTATATTTATACGAACCCAACATTTTTATTTGCCAAGCGAGATTTTTGTTAAGTGAGTTTTGCCCCATTTTATGACCTTTTCTGCCAGAGTTGTTAAGTGAATCAGCCTTTCCCACTGATGTTGCTTGTCAGGTCGCAAAAGGGGATCTCGTGACCCCGTCGGGATGCTGCAACTATCATGAGTTAGTTAGTTGCCAAGTGTCCAAATTTTGATCGCGTGACCTTGGGTATGCTACAATGGTCGTAAGTGTGAAAAATGGTCGTAAGTCACTTTTTTCAGCGCCGTTGTGACTTTGAAGTCACTAAAGGAACGGTTGTAAGTTGGGGACCCCCCTGTATATTATAAACCCTGTCTTGATTAAGAAATAAACTGCTGTTGTTTTTTAACCTACCGTCCTTATTTATTTTCAGCGGACAAGGAAGCTTATTGCAGCCTTTTATTTACTATGGATTTCTTACACTGCTTGCAGAAATCCTTACTGCTGGTAAGAGGCCAGTGAAGATTACTCACGGGTAAAATTAGTCATTTCTCCTTTTTATTTTTTCCAAACATTCTTTTAAAATCCCCACAGCTCCCTTGGCCATTAATCTGGCTTGCCTGTCAGCTCAGTCCAGCCCTGCAGCAAATGGGCAGATCTAACTTTTGACTCGCCAGATATGTTTCCCCGAAAATACGACCTACCCTGAAAGTAAGGCCTCACTTGATTTCTACACATGTGCCCAATATAAACCCTACCTCCAAAATAAGCCCCAACTAAGTCCAACTAAATACTCTTAAAAAGAAAAGGATACTTGTGACGGGGTAGGAATTAACGAAGATGAGGGAATACAGAAGGTAGTGGCAACTGTCCTCCAACAAGGCTTGAGATAAGAATGCCCGGCTTAGCTGGAAATGTGGCAGCCGTTGGTGGAGACGCAGGGCGCTGGTGAGCGCGTTTGCCAGCAAAGCCCTCTGGTAAAAGCTTGCTGCTTCATGCAACCTGGGAATTATCCAAGGAGAAGTTAGCACACAAACAAGCCACTGCTCGAAGTCATCCTCCCACGAGCATTGAATTGCATCACCGACATCGCGGTATTGAAATCTGCCCTGCTCAACTGGCAAGCCGAGGCATTCTTCTTCCTTCCATTAAAGACAAATCTGTGAAACTTTGTGGGGATATTGCATCCCAGGAAAAAAAATAAAAATAAAGGTTAGGTAGGTTAGCAATATTTTACAAATTTTAAATGACAAGTGTTGAAATCTGAAGTTTCGCCTCCGCTGACTCACACCGAATTGGTTATGTGTCCATTATTGTCCAGGCCAAATTAAACGGTTTAAAATCAGAAGCAGCAATGTTTTAAAAAACATTGACTACAAGCAAAGTGTATTCTACTGACCAACTGGTGAATTAAATCCAGTATGTGATCTTTACCAGTGAAATCAATGAAATGTCAAACTGCTAATTCCTGATTGGACTACATCCCTTATGTACCTAGACACAATACATTTGCCTAAATTTGTGACAATATAACATAAAACATCTTAAAAATTATTGATACTTTCTGTTGTGCCCCTAAAACTGATACTATGCTGCCCTAAATTAATACAGTGCTGTGGCTCTAAAATTTATACTATACAACCTAAATTTATACGGTGCTGTCTTCCTGAAATTTATACTATGCTACCCTAAATTTATAGAGTGCTGTGGCTCTAAAATTTACGCTATGCTACCCTAAATTTATATGGGGCTGTGGCTCTAAAATTTATACTATGCTACCCTAAATTTTTACATATACTATGCTAACCTTAATTTATACAATGCTGGGGCAGTAAAATTTATAGTGTGCAACCTAAATTTATATGGTGCTGTGGCCCTAAAATTGATACCATGTTACCCTAAATTTATACAGTGCTGTGGCCCTAAAATTGATACTATGCAACCTAAACTTATATAGTGCTATGTCCCTAAAATTGAAGAGAAGCAGCATCATAATTTTTAAAGAAAATATTATACCTACCCTAGAAGAGGAAGGACAAATAAAGCTGAACAATAAATTGTGAATATCCGAGAAAGCCACATTGCTGTGTCCAACTTGTTAGTCATCAGAAATTGCTGGAACAAAAGAAAAAAATTCATGCAGGAAAATTGCCATGCCTGACACTAAATCTACAAATATTCAGCCGTTGCATATAGAGAGCAGACAATTCCATTTTTTTTACAGGTCCTCGACCTACAACTGTTCATTTAAGAGACCATTTGAAGCTGAAAAAAGGGGACTTAGGACCATTTTTCACACTTACAACCCTGTTGGCATCTTCATAGTCTCATGATTTACATTCAGATGCTTGACAACTGACTCGCATTTATGACGGTCGTAGTGTCCTCGGGGGCGGTGTCACGCGATCCCCTGTGGTGACCTTCTGACAAGCAAAGTCAATTTGGAAGCCCAATTCACTTTAACGACCATGGTTACTGATTTAATGGGAGTGATTCACTTAACAACAGTGGCAAGGAAGGTCGCAACAGGGTTCAAAACTCATTTAACCATGGTCTCACACACTTAACAACCGAAATTCGGGGCTCAGTGGTAGTCGTAAATCGAGGATTATCTGTATTAGAGGAGAGAGAAAGGAGCAGTGCTGTTCCCTTACTACTATCCACGAGTGGCTTTATTCAACCTCGGACGGGAGACCACGGGGAAATATTAATCCAGGGATGGGAGACCACAAGGGAATATTGTTCATCGGGGATGGGAGACCACGAGGAAATCCGCTCCCACTCGGGGCCGAGGGCCTGCTCTTCCCCACCCCGGAACACCTGCGAGATCAAGGGAGGAGGGGAAGGGGACGGACAACTGATCACCCCTCCAGCAACCCCCGCGCGCCGTGGACAATGGGACCTGTAGTCCGAAACGGCCCGGCTCGCGCGTTCGCTCACCACCGCTCCTCCGCCCGCGCCGCCTTGCATGGGCCCGTTCTGCGCCGCGTCCGCCATGGCCCGAGGACGCCCGGCTTCGCTGGCTCGACGAAGGGGAGCGAGAAGCTCGAAGGCCGACCGCGAGGGAAGCCGGCGCGACGCTTAGGGGAGAGAAGGAGACCGCTTCTGCGCATGCGCCTGACCCGGCCCCGACCCCGCCGAGGGAGGAAAGAGGCGGGGAGAGAGAGAGAGAGAGAGAGAGAGGAAGGCCGCAATTTCGCCTCGTAGTGCGCATGCGTCCGCCCGCCGTTTCCGGTTCACCCGGCTACTGCCGGGGGGCATGCCGGGGGATGTAGTTTTCCCAGGCGCGCAGGGAGTGGCGTCCTGGCGCTGGGCGGGGCTGCGCGGTAGGCGAGGCTTTCCCAGCTCAAACCTGGCTGGTGTGATTCCCGCGTGGTTTTTGCACGTTTCTTTTCGCGTGTCCTTCCCCCCCCCCCTCCCCCAGCCTGATCCTTGGCTAGGACAAGGCAGAGAATGGAATGGGCGGCATATAAAATTAATGAAAGGGATGGGATTTATTCCTCAATTCCTTAATTATTATTAATCGTAATTCATTATGGTCATAATAATTATTAATCTTAATTCATTATGGTCATAATAATTAATCATAATCAATTATGAACATTATTAATAATAATCAGCTATGGTCATAATTATTAATCATAATTATAATAATTATTAATAATAATTAATTGATTCATTCATTAAAACTGAACTCCGAAAAATGACTATCTTGTTCAATGACACAATGAATCACACACACACACACATACACACATAAACTGGGCGGCTCCTCACAAACCCTGCCTTAGTAGCAGAGGTGGGATTCAAATTTTTTAATAACTGGTCCTGTGGGCGTGGCTTAGTTGGTGGGTGTGGCTTGGTGGTCATGTGACTGGGTGGACATGGCTTGGTGGTCATGTTATTGGCTGGGCGTGGCCAACTCAATATCACTCACATTGAGGCACGCATCTCCTCACCTGGCCTCTCATGACTGTGGGGATGCTGCAACAGTTGTAAGTGTGAAAAAGGGTCATAAGTCACTTTTTTCAGTGCCACTGTAACTTTGAATGGTCAGTCCACACAAGCAAAGTACCAGCAAAGGAGGGAAAAATAACTCCAGAGAAGTTCCTGAGACAGGAAGTCTAGTCCTGCCAAGAATGTAATAAGGGTTAACGGAGAGGCAGTTTCTGTCAGCAACACCAGAATGTTTCCTTCCTGCCTTCCTTACAGGATTAGCCCAGTAATTTCTTCTAACAACTGGTTCTCCTAACTGCTTAGAATGTTAACAACTGGTTCTAGAGAATAGGTGTGAACTGGTAGAATCCCACCCCTGTTTAGTGGTTAATTCAGGATTAAACAAACCACAGGCAGTCCTCGACTTACGACCACCACTGTGGAGCCCAGAATGTAAGCCTCGCTAAGCGAGACATTGGTTCAGTGTGTTTTGCACCCGTTTTTACAACCGTTCTTGCTGCCGTTGTTAAGTGAGGCACTGCCATATTGGAAATAGTAACAAGGTCGTTAAGCGAACAGGGCTTCCCCGGGGGACTTTGCTGGTCAGTAGGTTGCAAGAGAGAATCGTGTATCATGCCCCCATCAGAGTCTGAATCCGAGGAGGAAGACAAACGGCTAACAGGGAGTGGGAGTGTGGCTCTGTTGGCTGTGGAGCAAACTGGGGAAGGGCAAAATCCAGCTGGGCAGAGCAGGGGAGTGGTAGAACAAGAGAGAGGATATTCAGAGGAAGACCCAGGCCCACCCCCTCTTCATCCTAGGGCCTGCAGAGAGGAACGGAGAAGAGAGCAACGTGGGTTGGGTGGCTTACAGGGGAGGAAAAGGCCCTGATACCATTCCTTAGCTGCAGCTGGGAACACAATGTTTCAAAAGGGAAGCTGCTCACAGCAAAGTTGTTGGGAGCAAATCGTGGATTATCTGGTATCATGGAGGCTTATCTGGGTTCCTGACCTCTTCCCAACTGTGTGTGTTTTGCTGGGCTTCCAAGTCTGCAATTCTTTATCCTGCCCTGTCCAGTTAATTACTGCAGTGTGGTTTGTGTGGATTTTTATTTACAGTTTGTATGTACTTTGTTTTTGGACTGAATTTCCTCCACTTAAAGGCTGTTCCTGGGAGAGTTTTTCCTCCAGCTGAAGGTAACCTGGACATTGGGGGCAAAGTTGGAGATATTAAAGAGACATTTCTTGCTTACTTGACTGTTGTCTTTGTGCCACGCTCTGGGCCATCACATTGCGTGACACGCACACATCCCCGGGGATACTACGACTGTTGTAATTATGAGTCAATTGTCAAGCATCTGAACGTAAATCCTGTGACCCTGGGGGTGCTGCAACGG